CCACACCCACACCCACCCCACACCCCACACCCACACCCACACCCACACCCACACCCACACCCACACCACACCCACACCCACACCCACACCACACCCACACCCACACCCACACCCACACCCACACCCACACCCACACCCCACCCACACCCACACCCACACCCACACCCACACCCCACACACACACACACACACACACACGAATGCTGTTTCTAGTTCTTTTTTTACCACATGCTGTTAGTGTTGTCTTGTCGCATTGTAATCTTTTTTCAATTGAGGGCCTACTTCGGCTCCATTTCGCCGCATCAGGTGCATGTAGCGCTGTCTATGTTGCGTTGTTTTTCCTTACTCGCAGTTTAAGGGCGAATATTCAGGGTTTCCTGGCTCCCTCGGCTGGAGAGCTTCTGTAAGAGATTATTCACAGCTCGGAAGACTCGAACAACCACGCACGCACGCACATATTCCTGTGCACGCGCCGGGATCGGTGAAGTGTCCCGGTTTGCGATATCTGCACCGTGGGGATGGGGATGGGGCGGAGGGTGGGGCCACCAGTGTTGCGGGCCATAGGGAACCCTTTTGCTAGTGGCGACTCCGCGGGGACGCTACTGGAACCTATTTGCTGGAAGTCACACAAACGTCAATAACCCAGTGACCATTTTAATTTCAGATCAGATCTGGAGGGGAGAGCGTGGCGCCCCGGTTCGCAGCTTCTGAAGGTGCGGGCTCAGGTCTGTCGCTGCTGGAGTACGGCATCCGGGTCTGTCGCTGCTGGAGTGCGGCGTCCGGGTCTGTCGCTGCTGGAGTGCGGCGCCCGGGTCTGTCGCTGCTAGAGTGCGGGTTCAGGTCTGTTGCTGATGGAGTACGGCGCCCTAGTCTGTCGCTGCTGGAGTGCGGCGTCCGGGTCTGTCGCTGCTTGAGTGCGGCGCCCGGGTCTGTCGCTGCTGGAGTGCGGCGCCCTGGTCTGTCGCTGCTGGAGTGCGGAGCCGGGGTCTATCGCTGCCGGAGTGCGGCGCCCGGATTTGTCGCTGCTGGAGTGCGGCACCCGGGTCCGTCACTGCTGGAGTGTGGCGCCCGGGCCTGTCGCTGCTGGAGTACGGGGCCCTGGTCTGTCGCTGCTGAGTGCAGCGCCCGTGTCTGTCGCTGTTGGAATCCGGCGCCCGGGTCTGTCACTGCTAGAGTGCGGAGCCCGGGTCTATCGCTGCTGGAGTGCGGAGCCCGGGTCTATCGCTGCTGGAGTGCGGCGCCCGGGTCTGTCGCTGCTGGAGTGTGGCGCCCGGGTCTGTCGCTGCTGGAGTGCGGAACCCGGGTCCGTCGCCGCTGGAGTGCGGCGTCCGGGTCTGTCGCTGCTGGAGTGCGGAGCCCGGGTCTGTCGCTGCTGGAGTGCGGCGTCCGGGTCTGTCGCTGCTGGAGTGCGGAGCCCGGGTCTGTCGCTGCCGGAGTGCGGCGCCCGGATTTGTCGCTGCTGGAGTGCGGCGTCCGGGTCTGTCACTGCTGGAGTGCGGGCTCAGGTCTGTCGCTGCTGGAGTACGGCGCCCGGGTCTGTCGCTGCTGGAGTGCGGCGCCCGGGTCTGTCGCTGCTGGAGAACGGTGCCCTGGTTTGTCGCTGCTGAGTGCAGAGCCCGGTCTGTCGCTGCTGGAGTGCGGCGCCCGAGCCTGTCGCTGCTGGAGTGCGGAGCCCGGGTCTGTCGCTGCTGGAGTGCGACGCCCGGGTCTGAGGCTGCCAGGTTGCGGCGCCCGGGTCGGAGAGTGCAGCAGTCCGGTCTTCAGACATCGGCTCTGGGAAAGGAGAGTGCGGCAGGTACCAAAGCCTTCCGCTGTCTGCTGCCCGGGTCTGGATGTCTGCCACATGGATCGGTCGTTGTTGAAGAAGAAGAGCTCGATACCAGGATCCCCCGAGAATCGTTGGTCACCACTCGATCACCGGACCTGCCTGGCTGCTTAGTGAAATCCGAACTCTCCGAGCTACTCAGAGAGGAACCTGTTATACGGCCACGGCCGCGACGTGCCTGGCCGCCGGCGGCCTGCGGCCTGTGCGGCCAACCGGTTGGCCGTACCTGACTTGGGCCGATGGCTGGATCGACTCATCTGATCGCAGCGCACGGCGCCTTGCAGCTGCGCAGCACTTCACAGGCAGACGGCCGCTCGCCCGCCCAAGGCCGCTGGCTGCCGCCGACGTGGCGGCGGCCCACCAGGCGGTCACTGACGTATGGCAGCGGACGTTGCATGCGATAAGACGGCAGCAGAGTTCAGGCCTAGTCAGAACCGAGTGGCACGACGCAAGCGCTGGCTAGCTCAGGCACCTCTGGGCCAGACAGCGCGTCCTCGTGCAGGACCCCGAGACAGGTCTGCCTGGCGCCGATGGCTGGCGGGTGAGACGTCACGGTCGTAGACAGGGGATGAGACTGCCCGCGGGTGCATGTGCTGGGGCAACCGGCGGTATCTACTGCCTTCGACGGCTCGTGCCGGTTTCGCAGAGTGGCAGCAACGGGTGAGACAGCAGTGATGACGACTGCCTCATCGCAGGCGGTATGTCCTGCCTTCGACGACTCGTGACGGCCTCGCAGAACCTCGTCAGCGGAAGTGGCGACAACATCAGCGATGGTGGCAGCCGCGACGACGATGGTTGAGGTGGCGCTGGATATGCGATCAGCACATGTCACGCCGCACAATCCTACGTCCGTTAAAGACGCGGGTGTAGCCCAGCGCGTCCGTCGGCTGAGATACTGACCGCCCACGAGTCATCCGTTGCGGGCCGCGCTTTTTTAAGGACCCCACGGGAGCCACGACTAACCGAAAGCCGTAGAAATCTAGCCATGTTTGAGACATAGAAATATGTCGTGAAATACTGTGGCGACAGAATATTTCAGAATGTGACTTGCATATTGCGAGCATGCACCTTTAAAAATGAAATGGCGACACATGACGCATGACTATGATTATGTCGATGCTGCATAGGTGCAGCTAGAATTCTCTTAAGGGAGGAGCGGAACCCGGCGAATAGGCATCATGCCGATCTTGTACTTCCTGTCCGGAGAGACACCTGTGACGAAAAAAATACTGGCATGGAGAGGGGCCTGCCTCTCTTGACTGCGCCCTTGCTATGCTGCCTACCCACACATGGTAGCCTAGCGCCAACAGACCCGCGCAATGACTGCGTAGAGTTCCGTGGGAAAGGGGAAACCAGTATCGGTCACCCGACCGTCAAGCCGATTCTGTGTGGAGTTTTAGACTAAGACTAAGGCTTTTGTATGACCTGCGCTATCGTGGCTGATCATACACTGAGCAAAGTTGCAGGCGTCTTAACAGATTGCCTCATGGAGGATGGAGTTCCATAAACTTTTGTTAGAAAGGTGAATCCCAAAATGCTTATATAACGATTAACGCTTACACGTAGCAAATGTATTGACGCAATTACAGCATCTTACCTTCAGAGTCCAGCCTTTCGTATGCGCCGCGCCAACAGCCACGAAGCACGCATGCCGTCCGTCGGGCTGTATGCAGTTACGAAGCATGCACGCATGCTGGCCAGCCGCTGACCTGGTGCTGACCTGAACACTAGAACTCAGGAGGCTTCAAGGGGGTTTTGCTGCCGCCTGGTCTAGTCCCACAAACTACTCTCATTTGTTATGCTAATCTTAGTATTATTTTTGGGTGCCTATGCTGTGAAACGAAGTTCTCTGAGTTCTCTGTTCACCTCAGATACTCCCAGATACGTCATAAATGATAAACATATCGAAATGTTATATACCAAATACTCCTTATTACGTCATTGTTTGCTTGCATCATAATAAGTCTTTAAAACGTCAGTGTCGTTGGGAGACTGGTCGTGTCATAATTGCCATTACCGAGGGCGCCTGACTCACTTGCAGCACCTTAACTTGTCACCAGATCGCTTTTTAGTTGTGTGTGAAAAACCTATCATGATTATGAGTACGTTTTGTATAATTTTCCGCGATGGCATGTTTCTTGCATCTGTCCCCTCGACGTCCGTCTTAAGGTATGAATATTTGTCTTAACTACACCTATCAGAACGACCGTTTTAAGCATTCGTAATCTCTGGTGACCTCACGTTTGGCCGAAAGTGGAACATTTGGTGTACATTCTCCATGATTTGACGCGATCTTCACAACGATACCTTTGTTCTTCTCGTGCAACGTCTGGAAGTTCGGGATCACAGGCGAAGTCAACGCCTGGCAGGTCGCGGTAGCCTCAGGCCCCCGGCTGGGCGTCGGTTAGCGAGCCTAGGCATCATGCGTACATGATCAAAACACATCACAGTACACACCATTTCACTCAGAATTCACAAAGAAATATGCTTTTAAGGCTTCGTAGCGCTGCGGGGCATGGTCTGGTACATATCAGTACGTGAACCAGAAAAGTTCGATTCTCAGAAAAATTTGGCCTTTAACCTGGCATAATGGAAGGAATTCTTGACCCAACCAAAAAGTCACTGATCGATATGTCTTGCTGTTGAGAACAAACCAATGGCGTTCTCTCCTAGATTCTATCTTTCTTTGTTTGAAACGACGGCAGGTTCGCATCGACCCCTGCCCCCATCCATCCGTGTTTTAAAAAAAATGGCAAATCAGGGCAAGCATTTACCACTGGCGTTCTGTCTTTCAAATTGCCGGCCATTTTCACGTGCACCGAGTACGCCCGCAATAAACTAACACCTCAGGTTCTTTGCCACGAGTAGTATCACTAACGCCGTGACATACTGTGGTGCATTCTGCACAAGCTCCAACACAAACGCACATGAGGTCATTCATCAACGGAATGCACAAATAGCTGATGACACTAGAAGAAAGTTCATACAATGTGGTGCAATTTTCCCCTTCCCACCGTCTGGGTAACAGCACGGCGAGGTAGTCAAGAGGCCCCGGCAGGGTGTGAGTTAAATGCCAGCAAACACAGCAGGCCACCTGTTTAAACTGCTTTCTCACAACTGCTGTTGTCGTGAGGCTAGAGCCGCGAGTTCTTGACCTTAAACCCGCCCATTTCAGTCGCCTTCCGTGGTGATGACAGGGGCAAGACATGCAATGATCCGGAGAACAATCCGGGAGTGTGCGGCTTCTTGAACGAGTGTCCAGCACTGCAAGAGGCACTCAGAAACAGGAACATACCCCTCCCGCGCAAGGCGCTGTGTGGGTGGTAGGTCTGCCTTTGATCCGAACGGTATGAGCTGGTTTGTGTGCCAAATGGTGAAGATGTAAACACCGCAAACTTCCGTGCTCGCGAGTACCGTTCACACCTCGCCTGTACTTGTGACCTTTGGACGGACATCTCACCTCCTCAATCGCATGCACCGAACAAAAAGATCTGCTACGATGTGTGTGGCGATGTGTGTGCCGCACATCCCTTCGTAGAAGGAGTAAAGAAGCCCAGCGTTCACCAATCTTTTGTAGGCTTATTTTCCCCAACAGACAGATTGCATTGTACTTTCTCCTTTAAAAAAGCGTAAGGTTTAATTAATATCAGCCATGCGTTATCTCTTATTGTGAGCAAGCTCATATAAACGGCTGGTAGGTTGACAGGAGTGTTCTACACAGAGATCGCATTCGGACAGGTTAATAGAAGTGTTCTACACAGAGGTCGCATTCGGGCAGGTTAATAGAAGTGTTCTCCATAGAGATTTAATTCGGACAAAATTAGTTGGATCGCGTAACTGATATCTCGATTTCTTGCTGGCGTCCGAATGCTTTATGTCAGTGGCACACTGACCCGATGTCGGCTATTTTACGAGATATGTCCAGCTCAGGGTATGTTGCACCATTACCTTTCAGTCATGCTGCTGGCGGCGTCTGGACGGATATCTTCCTCAACTCAGACATGATTTAGCCACACCTCTTGAGAGTAAACATCCGCCCCCCCCCCCCCCCACACAGCCGTCAAGGAACGCCTGACCTAGCCCACTAAAGAACGTATATGAAATACCTACATATACTTTTTTAGCCAAAGAAGACTAATCAAAATTTACTTAGAAAACGCGCCGCCCTGGGACTGTCACTTCGTTTTTTAAGATAAGCCAATTTAGTTTTAATTGCAAGCCTTCAAAGAATGACCAAAATGGAAACGGTGGAATTGCGCCGTCAACTTAAGCTGATGGAAAACCAAGTAAACAGCCAAGAAGAAATGCTTGACTGTCTGACAACGCAATTAGCCGAAATGATCATTGTGTTTAAGGACATACAGGCAGAAAAGAAGAAAAAGATGGTTGATGGCCCAGACGCAGGACTGAAAGACCTGCAGTTTGCTGTAAAACAAATGGACAACAATCTTGACTTTCTGAAACGGCAACACAGAAATTGTGAAGCCCAAACAAAAACCACTCATGAACTGGGAGTTTTATGCGGAGCCGCTACGGTAGCTGCTGGGAGTAAGCCAGATGCTGAAATACAGGCAAGATATGCAAGGATGAATTTAGGCAATGCAAGTACACCAAGGCGCGGCAATGGACCGCATGTCGCCAGAAAACTAGAAATGACCTCCGCCGTGGAACTCGAATCAAGGGAAAACGAAGGTGGAAAAAACGAGGGAGGCACAAGAACATGCAAGAAGGAAAGGAGCGGCATCCCTGTTGCTGAAGAAGCGGAACCAAGCAGCCAACTCACTCGAGGTACTTATGGAAAAGAAAACAACGAAGGGCGTCGACTAAACGAAGAGAGGGCTAATGCAGGAGAAAAGGTGTCAGACGCCGTAGGAAACGCAGATAGCGGTGATGCATGGACCAGAGTGGAGAGAAAGAAAGAGAAGCCGACGATACGAAAATGTGGAGCAGTTCTGATCGGTGGAAGAAACGCAAGCAGGATTAAAGCAGAGGCCATGGAAGAGTTTATTTTCGACCAAAACGTATCTTTTATTACAAGGACGAGTGATGAACTTGAGAGTTTAAAGAGCGCGGTCACAAGAAATAAAGCAAACGAAGCAGGTGTTGTGGTCCATATCGGGGCCGACGATGTGCTGAATCATAGTGCAGATTATGTTCTAGAGAGCATAAACAGTACTGTCAACCATGCAAAGTCCTTGAAAAAGATCAAACGAGTCTTCATTTGCTCGCTTGAAGAGAGACGGCACACTGGCACTATGGTTTATGAAACAGCAAAAACCGTCAACAGTGAACTCAACCAGCTGTGTGTCACCCATGGAGTAGGATTCATAGATATGCGGCCAAGACTGATGTGCGTTTTTGGAGGCCTGAACAAGACAGGTATCTTATACACGTTTGAAGGCGCCAGAAACATATCACAGCATATCATCAGCCAAGCGCTGGTTTTTTAGACTAGATGATTAGTTGATATCTGCTTCGGATCAATTTCATGAGAACAAATCACTTGACTCATAGTCTTCCGGAAATCTAAGTTTTCTTACGGCCAACGTGAATGGACTTTGTACATCCACTATGCAAGTTGAGCTTGGCATGATGTTGCACAAGTATAAGATAGGTGTAGCAATAGTCACAGAAACCCATTTGGGCAAGACCGTCCATGGTAACCAAATTTTCCAAGCAGGATATGCAGTACTACGACGTGACAGAGACTTATTGACGGTCAACAAAAGTAAGGATGGAGTAGTCGCCATGTACATAACAAATGACTTAGCATACACAGTGGCCAAAATTAAAGTCCCGGACGAGCTGGACGTTTGCTGGAACATCAATCGACATTTGCAACCCGACAGCATCATAGTAGCTGGAGTTTACCTTCCTCCTGATGCATCATTCTGTCGCCGGAAAGTGCTATCTAAACACCTTCTGGAAACACTTGATCGTCTTCCATCCTCAAGGCCAAGAGCAAAAACTGGCTTGGCGGGAGACAAACAAAACTTTTGATGCAGAATTGTTAGCGCGTCAGCTGGCTCTCTCGCAAATAGTTACGGAGTCCACAAAAGGTTCAGCCGTACTGGACAAAATGCTGACTGATTTTGATTCTCCAAGCGCACCACTAAACCTATTACCCATTGGTACGACAGACCACAAAACTATCGTATGGTTGGCTGCAAAACAAGTAGAATGATCTCAAGGCTATGACTTTGTACGGCCTTTGAAGAGCTCATCCAGCAGAAGTTTTGGCAGATGAATTTGCTGCCAGGACTGGCAAGATGCAATGGCAGAGCAATAAGTGATATAGACCAAGCTGCTGCTCGACTAGAACTGCTACTTCAAAATGCTTACGAGGAGCACTTCCCTGAAATTAAATACAAATGCAAGACAAGTGAGCCGCAATGGATGACAAAGCGCCTCAAAGAACTGATAAACAAACGCAATAGGGCGCACAGTCGTCATCAAATGGAGAGACTATAAAAACTTAGAGCCAAAAAAGCTTACAGATTGCAGCTGCAAAAACGGCATGGCACAGGAAACGAATCCAAATAATTGCTTCTGACCGAAGAGGTTGTTGGTACGGACAAGAAGCCAACTTAACCAGCCGAAAACCAAAATCATGGAGCCTTGATCTTGCGGAAGCCAATGACGATAAATCAAAATCGGAATTAGTAAATAATTTTTTGGCAGAAATATGCACAACGTATGAACCGCTGCGCACAGAAGAGCTTCCCTGCTATCTGCCTGCCAATAGCATTCCTGCTAAGAAACAGCCGTGGCAAGCTGCTTTTCAACTATCGCAGTTGAGAGAAAATATGGCTGTTCCCACTGGACAACTTCCAGTGCGGCTAGTAAAAGAGATTTCTGTGGAACTGGCCGTACCATTTACTTATATTTTCAAGCGATCATTGCGTGAAAGATGCGTGCCATTGGTGTGACAGAGAACAACAATCACCCCTGTGCCAAAGAAAACATCGCCCAAATTGCCAGGAGATCTGAGACCGATAAGCCTCACACCAACTTTTAGCAAGGCTTTGGAACAAAAAATGTTGTTCCGCGAATTCTGGTGGATATAAAATCAAGCATGGATAAGCGCCAATATAAAAATCTGAAAGGTGCCTTAAAGCTACACTATTTGATTATGTTGTTGCATGATTTGCTGACGGAAATAGACGAAGCACACAGATTATTTTCTATGGTTATGTACGATTTTAAGAAGGGGTTTGACCTCATTGATCACACAACAGTTATCAAGAACATGATTGCAATGGGAATTCGCTCCGGGTATGCAAAGTGGCTTCACTCATTCTTGCAGGACCGAGAGCAGCGGGTCAAGATGCCAGATGGAACCATAAGTCGCTTGGAGAACTATAACATGCGGCACTCCGCAAGGCACCTTGGTTGGCCCGGTTGCTTTCCTGGCTATGGTTAACGGTGCCACTGCTGGTATTGACAACCGACTGAAGTATGTAGACGACCCTACCATACACCAGGCGTGTCGAATTGGCCAAGTAGATCGGCACTGCCAGTTGCAAGAGCACACTGACAAGACAAGTGATTGGACAACGACAAACAAGATGATATTGCACAATGACAAATGTCAAGTCATGCATTTTTTTCACGGCAAAAAACCATTAGCACTACCGGACATCATGATTCAAGGAGAAATGCCTGCCAACTGCCAGCAAAACTAAGCCTTTAGGTGTAGCAATCTCAAATGACATGTCATGGCAAGTACATGTGAATGGGATTGTAACCAAAGCATCGAAAGCTCTATATGTGCTCTACATAATGAAGAAGCACCATCCACCATAGGAACAGCTTGTTCGTGTGTATGTTACTTACATCCGGCCACTGCTAGAATATTGCGCACCGGTTTTCCATGCAGGACTCACTGCCAAGCAGGCGTAACACATTGAGAAAGTGCAGAAGAGAGCCTTGAAAATAATCTTCGACCATTCGAAAAAGTACTCGCACATCTTGCAACACTATGGACCTCGCTGACAGAAGAGGAAAGCTGTGCCTAAGGCTAGGAAAACAAATGCAAGCGTCTCCCATGCATAGAGACGTGCTTCCAAAGCTGCGAGTGGCGATCTCCGACAGAAATACCAGGAGCGCAAGCACACTGCAAACGTTTTGCTGTGGTACGCGATTACGCAATAAAGTATTTCCCATATGGCCACTCTTATAAACACAGATATATCATCAACTATGTAAAAGCCTACTTCATATGTATTTTGCGCATGTGCCATATGAGTTGAAACTCGAAACCATGCTTTTCCCAATAAACCGTCTCTCTCTCTCTCTCTCTCTCTCTCTCTCTCTCTCTCTCTCTCTCTCTCTTCCTCTCTCTCTCGCTCTCCTCTCTCTCTCTCTCTCTCTCTCTCTCTTCTCTCTCTCTCTCTCTCTCTCTATCTCTCTCTCTCTCTCTCTCTCTCTCTCTCTCTCTCTCTCTCTCTCTCCTCTCTCTCCTCTCTCTCCTATCTCTCTCTCTCTCTCTCTCTCTTCTCTTCTCCTCTCTCTCTCTCTCTCTCTCTCTCTCTCTCTCTCTCTCCTCTCTCTCTCTCTCTCTCTCTTCTCTCTCTCTCTCTCTCTCTCTCTCTCTCTCTCTCTCTCTCTCTCTCTCTCTCTCCTCTCTCTCTCTCTTCTCTCTCTCTCTCTCTCTCTCTCTCTCTCTTCTCTCTCTCTCGATCTCTCTCGATCTCTCTCTCTCTCTCTCTCTTCTCCGATCTCTCTCGATCTCTCTCGATTCGATCTCTCTCGATCTCGATCTCTCTCGATCTCTCTCGATCTCTCTCGATCTCTCTCGATCTCTCGATCTCTCTCGATCTCTCGTTCTCTCTCGTTCTCTCTCGTTCTCTCTCGTTCTGTCTCGTTCTCTCTCGTTCTCTCTCGTTCTCTCTCGTTCTCTCTCGTTCTCTCTCGTTCTCTCTCGTTCTCTCTCGTTCTCTCTCGTTCTCTCTCTCTCTCTCTTCTCTCTCTCTCTTTCTCTCTCCCCCAGCCGTCCCGTGAGACAACAACAACAACACAACAACAACAGCCGCCCGTGAGACCAGATCATCAAATGCCAACACTAATATTGATTGGTGACCGTTTAAAGAAACAGGTGCAAGAAGCCATACGCTCATCTGGGTTTCAAGCCTAGACCCCAGGGACCAGCCGAAATGCGTGCAGAAATATTTGCGCCGTTCTGCCCTGTAGCGACCTCGTTCTTCATCTGGATATACATCATGCGCCACCTTCAACGCCGGACTGGAAGATCGATATGCGACCAAAAACGCTTTATATCTGATGCTGTGCGACTTTGACCAACACATTTTTATTGGCGGCACGAAACAAGGCGTGTGCTTGTTTTTTATTGGGTATCTGGAGATGTCGCGAACCAAATGGTGTGCACACCTCTCGACGGCCATCCGTCCGTCAGCGACCCAAACGAACCGCTTACCAACCATCTACACGTCAGGATTCTGCGCAGATGGAAGAGTGCTGACAGAAAACTTTTCGAAGCCCTCCGTGTGAAAAATGCCGTCAGACCGTTTAATGCCATCAGTTCACACCTCTTGGTGCCCTTTCACCGCGTTCCATCTATTGAGCGCCATTCAACCATGTTAACGCCAGATGGGGAATCAACGTCAAATTGGCATAAAGTTTGGAACCCTTCGTCCAGCACCTGCAGCGACAGTGATGGGACAGCCATGTCTGGGGTGGGTGCGGGGGCTTTCGCCTTCTTTTTCGTCAATCCCTCACCTTTCTACCTACCTGATATGGTGAGCGCCCAAAATTTGTGCTTCCAACATTTTCTTTCTTATACCTTTCTGCCAGCATGCAAGTCAGGGATAGTAAAACAGGTCAGTGTCATTAGAGTCCTTTAGTCACTAGCATCCAAAACGCCCCACGTCGATGTGGCGGCCCGGAGACTAAAGTGCAGGATCTGAGCTCACTTTGTGGCGGCTCTCTTTGACTGACTGAGAAGCTTGCGCTGGGCATTGCGGAGGATCCTATTTGAGCTTAAACACACATTTGCATACACCGTCGTCGCGTGGTTAACGTAATTACTTCCTTTCTCGAGAAGCGACAGCCTGTTGAGGGGGGTTCGAACTCACTGTCAGTTTGTCCAAGCCACCGCGCACGTCACTCCGGGCGGAGAGCCTGGGCTGGCATGCCAGCCTCGACGTACACCGTGTGGACGACAGGAATGACCGGGAAACAGCATGGTTTTATTTCCACCAAGGTGCTGAAGCGGATACGGGAAACCTTCCGTTGCCGATGTGTTACCAATGCTTGCTAGGTACCTGAAATGTCGCGCTTGATGATCGACAGGAAAAACTAGTCATCGACATCGACAATGAATGACCGAGAACAAAATGAATCACCGGTGATCCACAGTGCAAAATCAGTGCATGGTATTTTCATTTATGTGTCCCTGCTGCAACCCTAACGAATCAGTGAAGCGATGTGTAGTCCAGTGCGGCCCCTCGCTATGTGTGTTTTCATATATCAACCATTTCGTAAAGGTTATGTGGCATCCTCACGCCAAATCCTGTTATTTTGCAGAGTGAAGGTGCTACTGGGCGACTTGAACTTTGCCACGACCACAGAAGAAAGCACCCAGTACCCGCCCAGAGTGTACAATGTGGAAAAAGCCTTAAAACATCCGGAATATAAACGGGTTTTCAGAGGAGGAGGAAACGGCAAAAGATTGTTCAATGACACTGCCCTCGTTAAGCTTACGGAGCGCATCTCGATTTCCGTAAGTCCTCACTGAATAGCCCACTATTGCACGCAAGAAACAGCCAAGGGGATCCTAAAGCTATAAGCCTGCTCCAGGGTGGGTGCGGGCGCTGGCATTGCGTGGCCATTGTTTCATTCAAGTAATCCTAGTTAGCACATTTCAGCCACAAATTGGACGACCAGCGCACACAGAAACTTATCTCTCTGAACAAATAACTCTAACCCTGGTTGCGAACATCACTTCCACATTTCAGTGGGGCTGCTGATTTAAAAGACAGTTCGACAACTTTTGCCAATTGCAGTCATACTGGTTATAACGACCTTCAACTTATGACGGATTCGTGTATGACAAGTAACAAGCTTTTCTTGAGCAGCATTCCTTGTTATGCAAACCTTTCGGTGGTCCGGCAGTGGCATTCATTTGTAAACGTTTTTACTCACCTTTCCACCCTTTACTCCACATAAGCATTATTGCCCTTCATGCCATCTGTTAGCCCTCGGTGTTGAGGCCTTCCTGCCCCCTCCTCCCTCATTTCTCTCTCCACCACACTGCATTTTGTGGATGGCCTATTGCGCTATCATCCTAGCATCACGACATTAGCGGCCGTCAACACATGTGTTGATAGAAGTGTGCAGTAGCTTACCAAAAATCGGTGATGGGAGTTCGCCTTTACCATGGTAGCATTGGTACTTCTCACCGTTGATATTCTTGGAGTTACCAACGTGTTTTCAGCTTGCGGTCACGCATGGTAAGTTTATTCAAGCCTAGGTGCCGCGCCCCGATCTCCTTTTTTGATGTCCTTTATTTCATGCTGTAAATCAAGTATAGTACGTCGGGGGTTTGAAGCAAAGAGGCGTCG